GAAAATGTGTAAAAAATAATAAAACAAAAATAAGAAAAAATTGATATCTATTTTAATAAAAAAAACTCAAATTTAAATTCAATTGTAATATCATATCAAAGATATTATCATAAAGTGAAAAATAGAATGCTATATTGGAAGATAAAGATTCTAAAGAAATTTATAAATAAAAGAAATTAAATTTTCAGTATTTAACAAGGCTATAAATTTGTGAGTAGAAAATATAATAGCAGATAATATGATTTTAATAGAAAAAAGGTAAAATTTTTGTTAATGCATTTAATATATAAAATAATAAATTGTTATTTTTTAATAGTTGATTAGATAGATTTAAAAAATATAATAATATTTGTCAGCATTAGATATATAAAGAATCTGAAAGTGTATCATTAGCATCTTTATTAGAAGAAAGAATAAAGTTTCGTCAACTTATGAGACAGTACACTCTTATAATATTAATAAAATAGATCTTTATTATTAGATATTTTTTAAATCAAATATTTGCAACTAAGCTAATTCATGATAAAAAGAATGATAAAATATAGATTACAATACTTTTTAGTATAAACATAATAGAAACTGATAAACTTAAACCCTAGGTGATTAGTAATGCAAAACATCTAAGATCTCTTTTGAAAATTAATCTAAAATAGCTTTTGGTTTATTATCATGAGAATTCAAAAGTATGGATGAACTCAATGATTTTAAAAAATAATTTATAAATTGGATAGCTATTTTAGAGTTAAAAATATTAAAAAATTTGATAGAGATTTTATTATTTAACCTGTCACTACATATTTAATTTTAATATAATTGTGACTATATAAAGGTAACCTTTTTGCAATCATACCTTTATATAGTCAGTAATTTTTATGTATGATTATATAGGGTCTGACTGTAGTTGAACTTATATGGCAAATTAGTAGCCGCAGCCAGTGTTGTCATGGGACATTGATAGGATCACTGGCCGCAGCCATTTCCTATGTATCACATAATTGTAAGTTGTCATAAAATGATTGGATGAATGCAGACACGACAAATTGAAGAAAAGCCACGAAAAATTTTTTGATAAAATAACCTTTCGAAAAATTTTTGACACGATAATAGTAATTAAATACTTTTTGGAAGCATAAGTACACTAAAATGATTAGTGGAACACTGAAAGTCTTTGCGTTCTTCATATCAATATCTTTGATATTTTTGGATTCGACTTTTGCTTACGTTCGCGAGCCTACAGGAGATAGAAAAAATCTTAAATTAAAACACGACTATAAACTTACTTTCAAAAAGCCATATTATTATAATCATACTGTACCTTTTTTTGATACATATGGCCGTAAGTCTATTTTATAACTAGAAAAAAAATTGGTTTATGTTGAAAAAAGAAAAAAAAAATAGTCAACATATTTTTAACAAAATTTTTTCGAATTGTTAGTAAATGCTAATTGAATTATATACATTTATTGATTATAGATACTCTCCTCGCAACGGATTTTATTCGATTGGCGCCTAGTGTTCCAAAGCACGCAGGTTCGATATGGGCACAGCTTTCAAACCCACATAAAGAATGGGAAGTAGAGTTATCCTTTAAAATTACAGGGAAATTTTATGTTGGTGGTAGAGGTATTGCATTTTGGTATACCAAAGATCGTGCTGAACAAGGACCGGTATTTGGAAACAAGGATAAATGGGTTGGACTAGTGATCATGTTCGAAACCGTTGACCATATTAGAAAAGTAAGTAAATTTTTTGTCAATTAGTTATGATATGAGAAAATCCCACATTACTAATTATCTGTATTTAATTTTTTAGCGCGAACATCCCGTTATAATGGCTCATCTTAATGATGGTTCCACACTTTATAATAATATAACTGATCCTGGTGACGTGATGCTTGCCGGATGTTATAGATTGTTTCATAATACACCATCACCTGTATTTTCCAGAATATCGTATTATAACAGAACTCTCAAGGTATTTATAATTATAATTTCTTATTAAACTTTCAATAACATAAATTTACGATTATATTCCACAGTTAGCAGTGGATGCCAATGATGAAGGGGGGACGTATCTTCCATGTTTCGAAAAAAAAGATATAGATTTGCCAACTGGATATTATTTTGGGGTTTCTGTAAGCTAATTTTAAGTTTTTTTTTTTAAAAAAAAAAAAATATACGTGAATGTACATTAATCAATCGATTCATTGTTAAATTAGGCGGCTGCGCAAGGAGAAACGCCTGGTATGCCATTTTAACAAATCGGAGTGTTCGAAGATTTTATCAACTCATTATTACTTTCTTTATCAGATGATCACGACGTTCTTTCCTTCGAAACTTATGAAGTAAATCCTGCTGAAAAACAGAATGTAATTAACATTTTTTAACTTATTATAATTTCTATTAGATATCAAACGTTTTTATACTGAATTTTACATATTCTTTTGAATTGATCACTTATCTTAAAGAGGCAATTACGTCCTCATGAGGCTGAAAAATTAAAAGATGTCCCAGCAGAAAATTATGAAATACCTACAGACGTTAAAAAAGTAAGATTGTACAACATTCTTTTAGATCAGTATAACACGTTTCTTATTATTGTAACCTTGATAAATTTGTTTTATTGAATAGCGTATTGATGACATTAAAAAAGTTGTATCATCTCCCAAAGAAGATGGTAAAGACAGAGAGGATTTGGTTCGTATATTTAATCGGAAAAGTTATCGTTATGTAAATTTATATTCACATTGGAAATTTCGCAAATTAGAGGAACGTCGATTTCATTAGAGGGATGCAGACCAAAATTCTTGAATCGATCGATCGATTACATGAAGTGCTGGCATCCGGAGGTGCAAATTCTAATGATAAATATTATACCGGTGAATCAAGCAAGACTGAAAGTCAATTAGCTGCCATTTCGTAAGATTTTAAATTTTTATAATCATTGATATTTGACTTTTTTATTTCTATTGCTTAAATTAACCTTTTTTGATTTTATAGACAAAAATTGGATAAAATCGTAACCAGCTTATCTTCTTTAGAAAATAGAGTATCAAGAATTCCTATAAGTTCGAACGAATATGCAATTAAAGAGCTAAAGGGAGAAATACAACGAATAATAGGCAAAATTGATGCCATGGATGTAAGAAGCTGTGTTTGCATTATTTTTTTTATTTTAATACCAAATTTATTAAATATTTTCAACGCGTTTTTTTTAGGGCCGAATTACCGGGCAGTTTCACCAAACACAACGATCCTTTCAAGAAGTAAATAAAAAAGGTTCATCTTCTATATGGTTATATATCACGTATTTCATTTTATTTATGATTTTCGCAGTAGGTTCATTTGTGTTATACAAGACAAAAAAAGAAATGGACCAGAAAAAATTCATTTGATGAACATTTCATTTTCAAAAAAAAAAAAAAAAAAAAGTATTATTTGAGTATTTTTATTAGTCATAAACATTTATTGTTAAATGTATTCCAAAGATTCTATTTATTTTATAAAAAAGAGGAACTATAATTTAATATAATAAATCATAGATGATATAATTAATCTGATTTGACCAATCGGAAAATACTTTTTTACGTATATTTTTTTAAAAACAAATTCTTTTAATAACAATAATTTGTGTAATGCTACAGTACCATTTCGAGGACTAAAGAAATTTGGTCAAACATCTTTTCGCATCTATATAAATGATTATATTATAAATAATATAGTATATCTTTAAAGTTGTTGAATAAAGTGGCCCTCCAGCTCATGTTAATGATCCGATCTTAAAGCGAGAATATTGGTTAGGATCCGGATTTTAAGACCAATATTAATAATTTAGTAGTAGCATTACAAAGCTATTTGATTTAATAAATTAAAATCATCTAAAATCGTGCTCTTGCTACTTTATAGTTAAAATATTTACGGAATCTTTTTGCATTATTTAATTGGCTAATCACAAATGGAACAGAACTGTCTTCTAGCATGCATTCCAATCACTATGCGAAATACCAACTCCAACACCATTTCTATGGTACTTTATACGTTTTTAAATAAACATTCTTTAATATCATGTATCGAAAATAAGAAAAAAGTGGTTGATAAATCTTTGATAAATCGCTGTCTGAAATTATTCGAGAAGCATACACTGTTACGACGTACTCATAGAACGTAAAATAATCGTTCTAGGGTTTTCTATCACGCTTCCGAGATATTATTGTAACTTCAATGATGAAATCTTTAACAATTTTTTGGTGGCAAGACCTCGATAATGCGTTTTTTATATGAGGCAGAAAAGATAAAATTTCCACATATCTTATAAAAATAATTTCGGATACCGCCCCAATTTTGCCACTATTTCTTTGGTGAGCTCTATACGTTTTTTAAATTAAAATTTAGTAAAATAAAAATCCTTAATATAATGTATTTTGAATAAAGTAAATAATAAAAGGTGGAGTGCATTTACGTAAATCTCTGTCTGAAATTATTCGATAAGCATACACTGTTTACGATGAACTCGTATCATATTTAAGGGAACGTAAAAAGAATCCTCAAGGCACTATCGCAACATTTTGGTTATGAGACAGAGAAGATAGATAAAAATTCATTTGCTACATTGGAGGCATTTTATTTTACAAAGCAAGGGTTACTTCTAGCAAGGCCGAGGATCACAAGGAGTTGAAGATCAATATCAACTTGAGACACATTCAAGATGGTTGACAAGACCTCTTGCACAATCTTGAGATTTAAGCATAATCTACTAACTATTTTTCTCGTACTGCATGCTCTTAAATAGTACCACTCCTTTTGTAACTAGCATACTAAATGGCCAGTCTGGGAAGTTTGTCATTGTCATGTCAATTTTCGGATTTTTTAATTAATCATATTTATTGGTAATAATAATAATGAGATTCAACTTTAATTTTAAAAGCAATTTGATTTTAAATCATAGATTTAAATTACTTTCCAATAAATTTTTGAGTTCAAATTACGCTTATTGGTTCTAAGTTCTATCTAATTTTAGTGACATTCTTGCTAATTGTAATCTTGATTGCTGAAAATCACTTGTCATATTTGAGATGTTTTAACGTTAAGATCCTATTTATTAAAAAAAATTCATCTACTTGTTATTGGTATCAGGGGAATATAGCAAGCCTGTACATATGGTTTTTTTTCATATATGTACAGTATTAGAAACCATACATGTATAGTTTTAAAGCATACATACCATACATTTCAACCCCCCCCCCCCCCGCAATACATACACCGTACTGTACAGGTTTGTGTAATGCCCGTATATCAGATCCAATTTTGATAAATTCAAAACTTAGAGATTTCGGTTCTTGGATAAATTAATGAAATTAATTATTAATATTGGATCCATAACTGATAAATCAAAGTCATTAAAGTTATTACATTCAATAATTGTGTTTTTTGAATATCATTTGGATTATATAATATGCTAGCTAAATTTCAAACGGTAATAAATAACATTCTAAGAGATATAAAAGAAATTTTATATTAGGATATCTTGTTATTATCATTATTTATTCAAAAATATTTAAAGAATACTTACATCATTTTATATCAAATTAGCTTAAAAAATTAATATTATTTTTTATATTATTAGATTCAAATTTAAAAATATTATAAAATTAAATCAAATTCAACAAAGTTTGAAAAAATTATCAATATATCTTTATTGAAAAATATCAGATATTTAGAAAATTTTTTAATTTTTATTAAAAAATTTTTAAAAATAATAGTACTTTTAAATAAATTTTAAAAATGAATAATAAATTTAAAATATCAGTATATATTTAAAAAAATAATAATTACATTATACTAGTTTACTTTAATTTTAATTAATCATTTATTTTTAAATGTTGATTTTATTATAAATATTATCATAAAAAAAATTTAAAAGCAAGAGCATTAATTTAATTTGTTAATTATACTTTAAATTTAACAAATAAAAAATATCATATTATAAAATAAAAATAAATTAAATATAAATAATTAAGTATTTCTGTTGATATTTATATAAAAAATAAATTTTAGTAAAACAGTTTATATAAATTTATAATAGCTTTTAAATTAACTTATTAAAAAAAATAATAATTATTGAATTATAAGTAAAAATTAAAAATGATGTTGCAATTAGTTGCAATTAATAATAAATAAGCGTCATAGGATTATAACAATTGCATATTAACAAAAATTGAATTGCAATTAATTGCTACTAGTGGTAAATTAACATTACATAATTTCGATTAATTGTAGCATTATCTTTAATAAAAATTATTACTATAAAAATATAAAATTAAAATGAAATATAAAAAGAAAAATTAATATTAATATAAATATATTATTTAAAATAAACTATAAAATATAATTATACTGCTTCTTATCAAAATAATATTTCTAATTCATATTCAATTATATAATAATTAATAAAAAATATATAATAATTATAATAATTATCAATTTAAAACTTAATCAAAAATAATAATTTATTAAAAAAAGAATTATAAAGTAATTTAAATAATACAAATAGAAATTACATAAATAAAACTTATTTAAAAATAAAAATACTCTATAATTTTAAATATATTTTTTTATATTTTTAAATATTAATAATATTTTTTATAGTTTATTATATAAATAATTAATATAAAAAAAAAGTAACTATTCATATTGATTGATTGAAAAAATTAAAATAATTAATACTTAAGCTTAATTGATAGGTTCATTATATAATTAATAGATTATTAATATAAAAATTAATAATTAAGAGAATCAGGTAATATATAATACTAATTAAAATAGAAAGTTTATTTTATTATATAAATGCTTTGTAATATAAAAAAGAAAATTATTGAAAAAATCTTTTTTGCTTTATAAGCTAAATATTATATTTCTAGTAAAATAAATTCAGATTAATTTAAAAAATTTTTTTTTTGATAGTTTTCTTACTTTCTATTGCAAAGCATCTATATAAAAATAAATATTAAAAACTTTTATCATAAATAAATAATACCAGATATATATAATTATTATAAATTATTTATTAAATAGTTAAAAATAAAATTTTGACATAATATTAATAAAAAATAAAATTATAATTAGAGATAAAATATTAACAAGAATTAATAAATAGAATTGTATTATCTTTATGATATTATAGGATTTAATATTATTATTAAGATCTTTAAAAGAATAACTAGTGAAAAATATAGTTTACTTAATAGATTAAAATATTAAGAATTCTATAGTATTAATAAATAGAAATATTAGAATAATTAAAATAATGATTTCAAAAAAATTTTATAAATAATAAAATTTAAAGTTCTATTTAAATTTAAATAATAAGCTATTTTATTAAAATATAAATAAAATAGATTAAAGAAAAGAAATCTAATTGATGACCTAACGACCAGATCAACCGTCTGTCCAACGAACGTCTGTCTATCAAAGACAGTCTATCAGATATTTCGTCGTCGCACTGAATAAACGCGTTTTTTTTGCAACTTGAATAGGTTTGTTTTGGTTTTTGATCTAACGAATACTCTCGCCTTAAATTACAAAGATGAACAAGGTAGACCTCCAAGACTTCAAGCAAAAACTTCAGTTCAAGGATCCTACTGAACCCGAAGAACTATATCTTGACAACAAAAAGATCATGACGATCAGTAACATTATTAGTTCCGATCAATCAGATTTTACACCTCTTACCGAGTTGATTAATTTAAAGTCGCTTTCAATGAATCGTACTCACTTACATTCATTAGAAGGGTTTCCTACATTGCCAAAGTTGAGAAGGGTATTGTCATTTTATCATTAACCCATATCTTTAAATTGTTATATGACTTTATAATTTAACCGAATATCTTTTTGAATGATAGCTTGCTTTATCAGACAACAAACTTACAGGTGGTTTAGAGGCGTTTGTAAATGCTAAGCTTGAAAAGTTAATTCACCTTGATTTAAGCGGTAACAAAATAAATGACTTATTAGCACTCGAACCACTGGTAAAGCATTTAGTTGACTTTTTCATCCTCAACCAAAGTTTTTATTTGTAATTTCTTAAATGATTTCGAAGAAACTATAAAAATTATATAATTAATTTTATTATGTTTGTATTAAACCAATCTTATCCTTCAAGCGCAAGTTACCGAATCTTAAACACCTAAGTTTAATCGAATGTCCAGTTACACAGAAAGCAAATTATCGAGATGCTCTACTTGAAATGATACCTCAATTATATTCACTTGATCAACAAGATAGGTAAATTAACTTAATATTAATTATACTAATTAAAAACATATATAATAATAATAATTATTATTATTATTATTATTTATTAAATAACTTGGACAACTTTATTATATATGTATCTATGTATTCCTCTTTAAATAGAAAGGGAGTACCTATTGATTCAGAAGACGAAAGCGATGCAGATGAAGAAGAGGAGGATGAGGATGAGGATGATGATGTTGTACAATCAAATGGTCATGCGGGTACCTATTAGTCCATAAGTTATTTAGGCTGTTACTCTTTAATTCAAGGTATTTATTTCTTATAATTAAGATTCCGAGGAAGAAAACGAAGAAAACCAAGAGGCTGAAATAAGTGAGGAAGCTATATCGGACGAAGCGGGCAGCGAGTCAGATCAAGATATAGAAGCAAATGATGTAAGACATTATTTTCATCGTCATTTGAATAATGTCTTTATCTTTTACCTAATCTTCATCTTTTTCAAAGAACGAGGAAGTGTCTGATAATGAAGAAGAATTGGTTGGTTATAATTGTTTATTTATAAGAATATTTAGTTAATATTTACTAGTGATTTGATGAAAAATAGTTCTATAAGATTAAAACGCGTAGAAAATCTATACATCTATTTTTTTAGGAAGCGAGCGAGATAGAAGCCGACACAAATATCGCACCAAAACCACGTAATAAAGGAAAACAAGTGGCATTTCCACCAGACCTTGATGATAAGACAGAGTCCGAGAGTGAATCGGAATATGAATCTGGTGAAGAAGGTCCAGGAATAGATTATTTACTTGAACCGGTAAGTTTAATTTTAAAGTGGTTTTGAAGTTACTTAAAGTATATTATGATACTACAGCATTGTATTTAATCATAGAATCTTCCGGAAGATACTGATGAAGAAGATTTTCAACCTGATGAAGAAGATGATGACGAGGAGAGTGATCAACTGGACGAGGCAAGCGACGTAGATCCAGCCGAACTTCCTACCACTAGTGCGGCAGGAGCAGCATTTGAAGCAAGAGCAGCAGCTTCATCTACATCAAAACGAAAAAGTTTTGACGAAGGATCGGAATCTAATGTTACCCAAAAGAGATTAAACAATGACGATGATGAAACGATACAAATTAAAAAACGACGTGTTTAATATATTACATAAATAGTTTTTTTTTTTTGATTCGATTTTTTTTTCATTGATTATTATTACTCATTTTTTATGATTAGCAAGTTATGCATTTAATAGATATACTGGAATATTCTATCTTTATAATAATATCAAAAAAGATGTGATTTGAATTACATCAAAACAAGGATTGTTTGAATTAACATTTGCAAAGTAAACCTTTTCAAATACATCAATTTTCTCAGTCTGAATAAAAAATTTTTAACAATTCCATTTACACACGTGATTTGATTATTTAATACATGTAATTATTAAAATTACACATGATATTTCTTAAAAGGATAGAACCTGTTTGATAATTTTAGTATTCTATATATATACTGTATATGTTTAATTAGTTTTTTTTCTATATAATATTCCATTGTTTGAACTCGATAATTTTATTAATCAAATGGCACAATTAGATACAACTCGACCTATTATTGTAGAACCTGATGTTCCTACTTCACCATATCCTATAAAAATGAAAGGTGAAGTAATTCAAGGGTTTGGTAGAGGGAGCAAAGAATTGGGAATTCCAACAGGTAATATTAAAATTTTAAGGATTCAAATTTCGATTCAAATTGATAATTATTTAAATTATTTATTTTGATTAATTAAATAGCAAATCTTCATGAAGCGGCAACAGAAGCTCTTTGTAAGGATGTAGAAACAGGTATTTATTTTGGGTGGGTGCAAGTTGGAAACGATAACACCGTATATCCGATGGTAATGAGTTTAGGTTGGAATCCTTATTATAAAAATGAAAAACGAAGCGCGGTACGTATACGAATTTACGAGAGCGAAAATATATTCTACAGAGAATTCGAACTTATCTCACTTAATTATTAGGAGGTTCATATAATGCATACATTCTCTGAAGATTTTTATGGAGTGGAATTGCGTGTAATCGTATTAGGTTATATTCGTCCAGAACGAGATTATAGTACACTTGGTATGAATTATTATAACAAAGTTTTTTTTTTTTCTTTAATAATAAAAATGAATAAATACTTAAGATTTATCTTCCCCCGAACTAGATGCTCTAATTAAAGACATTAATATAGATATACAAGTAGCACATAATTCACTTGCACGACCTGCATATATCGCTTACAGGAAAGATCCATTTTTCTTACATGATGGAGAAATAAATTAGTAAATAAAGCCACTTTTTCTACTTTATTATTATTATTTCATTCAAAATGGTTTCGCACATTTTCGAAGCTCTTTTGTATTCGTTTTTGTACATTGCATCTCTTGCCATGATATTGGTATCATAGCGGCACCTATAAAAATCATTCCAAGTTTTTAATTCTCATTTCAATATTTAACAAAATGATGATTTATTTACCTTCCACACTTTGCGCATAAATTACTCCAAGTTCATTCTTGGCTGTTGACAAGTAATAAGATCGAGCATCTCCTAACGAAATCTATTTTCAATTCTTCGCGTTAAAATTTTAATAAAAATTTACTATAATGTAAATCTGAATAGATACATACCACTTCTGCTCTGATTATGTCTCCAGGTCTAAATGAATTATGAATTTTGACCTTGTCTTTTTCTGTTGCGCGTACATCTCGTTGACTTTAAAAAAAAAAAAAAATTTTAACCCGCGTAAATAATAAAAAAAAGTGGTTTCAGAAAGATTTAAATAATACCGTATTATTCCTTGAAAATCTTCTTTACATGGGGAATTACCAACTACCATTATGGATACAACAGCTTCTTTAGGTGTGATACGAATAACTTTGCCTGTTACCTACAATTTTACAAAAGCCGATTTTAACATAATAAATTACAAATAAAAAACATCAAAAACTTACAATGCTAAATTCTTCTGGTATGGCTGATTGTTTTTTCTCTCTTGATACGGTCAATACAAGTGGCTAGTTTTCCTCAATTTTTTAGAGACAGCTTATAGTTTAGATATAAGAAAAATTTATTGATTTGTGTAAACTTGCCTCTCCTTCTGCTGTTGGCTTCAACACACGCTTCACGCCAACCACACTTGCATATAGCAAGTTGCCACGAACATAAGTGCCAGAACCGGCAGCATAATCTTGAGCAAATCCTAATCTTTGACCGGGTGTGACTATACTTTTGGTATTCATTCTTTCGAAAATAAGAAAATAGTCTTTGAGAGAGATCAAATGTTCATCATGATTAGATAAAAAAATAAATTCAAAATTTTAGATTAAACGTGTGCTTAGTCATATTAGATCTTATGCTTTACAACTTACTTAATTCTATATAATGCTTATATTTTAATTGGTTTGCTTTTTTCCTTTTTATATTGCTTATTTTTGTATAATGGATTTTGATGTAATAAATGTTCTATGTAAAAGGAACTTCAAATGAAAACATTTAGATTTTTTCACTTGTTTTATGATTATTAAAGAATATTTCTAAAATTACAACATTTCAGTTATTTAAGAAGTTTTTATTAGTTACAACAAATTTGATATAGTCTAAAAATATAATATAAAGAAACTTATTTGGTTTTTGAGAGGAATAAAAAAATTAAATCTTATATAGAAGGAATTTGACTTTATTGAAAAAAAATTTACTGATGATTTATTTCTCAATACAACTGAAAAATCTTCAAAGTAATTGAAGATATCTTATTAAGAAAAATTTTATTAATAAATATTTAAAAATATAAAATATAAGTATCTTCTTTACTTATTTATTATATAACTGTTATCTTTTTTTTTATAATATTTACTAAAAATTTATTAAACTTGTATTATTTTTTTATTAACATTTTCATTATTTTTATTAAAATAAAATATAATATTAGAAACTTAAGAATTATTTGATTACAGAAGAAATTTATTCTATTTTAAAAGCTTATAATAAATATAAATATCTTTAATAATACAGAATAAATATAAGTTAATATATTTTCTATTTTATAATTTATATTTACCTTAATGATTTACTTTGAAATAGTATTATTAACATGCAATCTTTGTGAATTGCAACAGATAGATTGGATGTTTGAGTAGTAATTCTTTTAAGTTTATATAGTAATCTAATAGTTGTCTTAATAAGTTAATGGTTCTTTTATATACTGTAAAGTATATTTACACCTCAATTAGTTAAGTTCTATTATATATTAAAAAAATATATTCAAATCTACAATGAATGTATGATTCATCTACTATATACTGCCTAATATATTCAATAAACTATTGAGTATATTTCTATATGTTAAGTCTAGTATTCTTAATGAGTTGAGTTGAGTTGAGTTGAGTTTTGAATCAAAATTATTCTATATACCTTTAATTTAAAGTATTTATTTATTATATATAACTAAATTTACAATTATGCACAATCATGTGAGTCAAATATGCAAGTTTATGCGAGTTATTTTTAGAACTCTAGTTATATCAAAATTAAATATGAATTACGTTATAAATACAAAATGTCACAAAATATTTCAAGTAATTGAATAAAGATTTATTGGTAAATAAATAAACTAAAAGCTAAAATACTAAACTAAGAAAATACAAAAGAAGAATTAATCATAAATAAAGAAGAATAGCCTTGTATTATTTTATAAAAAGAGGTTATACATAATTATCGCTAAATTGATCAGATTGCATTTAGCAATTGATAATTACTTTTTTGTCAAGAATTTAGTCTCCTTTATATACTTTTTAATGTAAATCTAATATATCATATATGTTAGATATGTCTGATAAATCAAATATATTAGATATGTTAAATATATTAAATATGTCAAATATATCAAATATGTTTGACATGTTTAACATTTAGATTTACATTTTTTTGCGTTATATAAATTAAATACATCTATTAAGTAGATCCTATTAATTACGTCACTTATGTAACTATTTATAATACACTATATAGATCAATTATATTATAATAGTCCTGTTATATTACTCCCTACTTAAGATTTTTGTTCTCACAAAAATTCTAAATTATTCCAATTTATTCCATAAAATTACAAATTTTATCAATTAATTACGAAACAAGATTAAAAATTCTATTTAATAAATTGCGTGATTGCACATGATAATTATTAATAAAATAGACCAATCACTATTTGTTTACATTCTTACAGGAAGAAAAATTCTTATAATCTTGAGAATTTTTACAGTCACAATATTTTGTTATAAATATCTACCTAAAAATCTCTTCTGTTTTTATCAAATTCTATCAGTTTTACTAAAATTATTGCAAAATTTTCAGCTTTTATATTTTTAACATGGTTAAAAGTTTTCAAAAGTAATTTTTCTTATATCATCAATACAATCTTTGAAATTAAGAAAAAGAAACAAAATAACAAAGAATAGATTAACTTGATATTAAAAATCACAGACTTTAATAACTATTAAATTCTTTTTTGTCTTAAGTAGATAGTTTATCTAATGAAATTTATTATTTATCTTCTCATTTATCTCATTATATACGTCAATATTAAGACCTTAAAGTAGAATATGAAGGCTTTCTATTCTAATATAATTGTGCCAAAGCTGATGTTGATCGCCTTCAAAGTTATGAAGATGTCTAATTAGTTCAAAACCTTCAGAATAATTTAGAACAAATCAGAGAAACTTTAGAAGAATATTGGAACAACTTTAACAAAGAAATTAAGAAATTAATTTTCCTTATCACGTATCTCTTAATGATTAATTTACTACCAAATATTTTTATTAGGAAGAGATGTCATTAGCATTTTTGTCTATTATAGAACTATGTTTTACCGTTGCCTTTTTAGTCATTCTATAGATTTTGCTCTCTCTTTTTATCTTTTATAGTTAGTAATAGTTGTCATAAATACAATCAACTCTTATTATAACGAACTCTATATCTTAGACCTCAACTTCACTATAAGGCTATAGTAAAGATTTTAAGAGATTTGATTGACCAATTCGCTATAACAAGAGTATTTTTATTATATTTATTCAAAAAATTCATTATATTAAAAGTTCATTATATCAAGAGTTGACTATAATTTTTTCTAAATGTATTTACTTTTTTTTTCTCTATATTGATATATTTTGTTATCTTTCTATTTTTCAATAAAATTTTGTATATTGTTACATTTTTGCCTTTTTAAAATTATCTAATAAGTTAATAATTAAATAAAATAAAATAATAAAATAAAATAAATAAAATAAAAAAAAAATCTTCACAAATATTCTACTATATTCACATGATTTATATTAATGTTTAATCATAAATTCTATTATATAAAAAAATCTTTATTTACGATATATTAATTAATTTTTTTTTTATATTAGGCAAGTTTATTAAAATCTAATAGTTAAATAATTTATCACAAGAGAGTTGCTGAGTATAAATCTAAAATTATCTTCTGATTAACTAATTATGTAGTTAAACTGTTTCTCAATGCATAAATTATGTAATGATTATAAATAATTTCTTTTTTAGGAAAACTAATATTTTCATATTTTTTGATTTTCATGCATGCATTTTATCAAACTCTTAAAATTATACAGTTTACAAAATTTTTAAAATTTGTATTAAATAAGAAATATTGATCAAGAAGGTATTATGCAAATATTGCATGATCATTAATAAAATGCGTTTATATTTCTTAAATGTTATGTAATGATTAATAACATTTTTAGACCAATAACTGTTTATTTATTTTTCTATAAAAGAAAAATTTTTGTAATCTTGAAAAATTTTACACGCGTCTTTTATCTATAAATATCTTTTTTAAAATTTCTTCTATTTTCACAAAAATTTTCATCTTCCAAACAAAATTATTGCAGATTTTCAAACTCATTATATTTTTAAAATACTCATATAAATAAAAAAAAGTCTCCTTTCTCTCAATGCTAAAGTTCTATTTAGTATAGACAATTTAAAAGTAAAAAAATTTCTCAAGGTAAAATGGATAGATTTAAGAATAGTTTAATCTGAAAGCTTTAATTATATAGAATATGTGCTAGCTTATCATAAGCTTTGAATATACATAACCTATACTATTTTCTAATAACAGTGATAATTTATTCAATCTTATTTAGTTAATTGCAGTAATGACTAACACTTTTTCCTTTTGTTAAACTAAAGATTCATGCCAAAAAGGTCAAGAGGAAGTTCAGGTTCAAGAAGATCTTTAAACAAAAATATTAACTTTGAAAAATCAATTATCAGCTTTTTTAGATTAAACTGCTAAATTTTTCTTTAAGTGTAATCATTTAGGAGAAGATTTAATTTAAGAAAAAGACAAGAATCAAACACTTCAAAAGAATTATAGAAAGCTTAATGATAACTTTCAGTTTGTTCATTAAAAAAGAAATGTCAACTTAGAGACTTCAAAGATATTTTAATTTTATTCAAAATCAACTTGTAGAGAATAATAATCACTATCAATTCCCAGTGTATCTTATTTTTCGTAAAGATCAATTAAATTAAAAAATTTTTTTTTTTAATAAATTACTAGATATTTGACTACATAAAACTATTTAAAAGATAATAATTATTATAAATTCATATTATTTTAAGAGCTACCAATTATATTGTTGATACTTTCACTTTCATTCTTGATATTTTCTCTAAATTACTAAATGAATATTATCTTGTTTACTAATATCATATTATTTGTAATATCACATGATCAGTCTTTTAAAAATTTTGTCTTTTACAAATAGGCTAAGCTTGATAATATTTTTGGCAATACATTGTTATACAAATTATTCAAATTATAATTTCTTCCTAAATGTAATTATCAATATAGTATTAATGCTAAAAGTCTTCAAAATGTGTTTAATTTTTTAAATGCAGTTACTAAAAGTTTTCAAAATATGTTTATACGTCCTAAATATAGTTACTAAAAGTCTTTAAAATGTATTATTGCTAAAAGTCTTCAAAATGTATTTATATTATTCAAGTAATCTAGTTGTATATTACTACGCAAATAGAAAAAGAGGGTCCTATCATCATTGCTAAATGTTAACATGTAATCCTTGTGAATTGTGACAGTTAAATGGGATGTTCAAGTGATGATTCTTTTAAGTTTACATAGTAATCTAATAGTTGTCTTAGTAAGTTAATGATTCTTTTATATATTGCAAAATATATTCACACCTTAATTAGTTAAATTCTA